TTCTCTCAGGATACTGGAGCCAGTACATGTGCACCATTGGTTTGAAATGAGGGTTTTCCAACTCTCCTAGGTGAATCCTCTGTATCTATCAACCCGGTTAAAGCGTTGGACATCCGCTTTTCTTCCTTTCAATCTCGTAATCAGCACCCCTGATGTGAGAATGCACTGAGTAGAACTTCTGTGGAAGTGGTTGTATGCACCTGGCCATACCAGGGCTCTTACTCATTGCTAGTAACAGAGATGACTCTTTGGTTTGAAATTCACTGAAATCACATGGATAATTCTATATCTAAGCGGTAAAAGACAATGCTATGATATGTTGCCACTTATTAGGTAATAAGTTTTAATTTTTCCAAGATGAACTCCAAGATTACTTATACTCTCATTCTTCGGTTGAAACCTTAACAAGATGACGATCATTAAAACAAATCAATCCTTTAAACCTACTTGTACTTATGGTATTGTTCACTTGAATCTTCCCATTGATGTTTGGGACTGCATCTGATCAGTCTCTTATTGCATATGTGCATACTGTGCGTATAGCCTCGATATTGCATTAATTCACAAGCATTATAATATAGATAGTGGCTAGCAGCGGAATCCAGTTTGATTCGCGTTTCGTGAACTGGATTTACCAGAATCTCAGAGTTGATGTTCACTCTGGGAGTCGAACCCAATACCGTTCACTTCAAACGCCATCTTGTTATCCACTTAGTTATTGAGTCCTGATAGCCACTTGCCTATACAATGGGGTGAAGTTGAAATTCATTTCGTACTCATATATGTGATATTTAATTTTCCTATAATTGGAAAAGTATTCAGCTTACATTGATATTTGTTTAATCAGAGTTTACTTCAGTAACTCACATTAAATAGTTCTTTTTTGGAATCATATTTGGAAAAATGTCACTATCTCAATTGATTTTCAATGTTCATTCATACATATCTTGTCTAGTTTCATGTTGTTCTCATTCTAAGAAATATAACAATTTGAAACGGTAAAGTTTTGTGCTTGTACGCTTACTAATCTCCTTATTCTTTAACTTTTGGTATTCATTCCTCGAGGGCTGTAAGACTGAAATTTTTATCATTTTGATTGAGATCATGAACCAATTGATGTTAGACCATCATTGAAAACCTGGAAACACTGAACAGCCGTAACTTCTCGATAGATGAATGAAATGATCTTATAGCATTGGCAGATCATGTTTGATCGAAGGAAATTGTTGAATTTTCTAGGCTTAGCATTTTGATTCGTCCAAAACTAATATCGAGTATATGAAACTAGATTTTAAGTAAAAGTAGAATCCAGGATGTGCTTCTCGTCCTATTTAAGGCTTTTCAACTAGAATTATCTATATTCCAATGCTGGTGTTCATAGAAATACTTGATTCTAATGCGTATCAGTTTAAAGACCTCTCATATTGGGGTCATATAACCATTTACTCGTTTAAAGGGTATGAACGTGTTTGTAAAAGTCTGTATTATCGTATCGTTGATATTCAAGACTTCATTCAATCAATTTCTGTTGGATATGTTCATCCTGAGTAGAAGATTTGATATTACACTTGAACACAGTTGATGAGTCCTATAAAGGACGAAAGTTGTGTCATGGATTCCATTGTTATAAAAAGTCCAAAATGTATCAAAAACGTGTTTCTAAAGTCGCATGCGTTGAATATACTCATAGGATAAGCTTCATAAATAATTTAGTTGCTCAAATTTAGCATTCCTATAAAACGGGAAGTACAAATTACATATAACTGTATTCAGTAGTAAATCGAAATGATTTACTTTAACGCTTCTTTACCAAAAAAGGTGTTCCCGGGTATATTTTACCGACTACTGACGACACCCTCTGACATGTTTTAAATAATCAAGTATAAGCTAAATGGAAAGGGATTATCTTCAATCGAATAAATTTTCTTACAACCTACTTCCACACAATCTATCATCGCATGTTAAGATATGGGATGTTTGAGTCTGCGTACTACGTGACATAACCACTTAACTTGATGAAGGCCCATCACATCATTAATCTATGTGCTATTATTTCCCTATCAATCTGATTCTAAGCTCACTACTTGAAATTCTTTGGTCTCAACATACTCAGGCAATACTGAGAAAGCAACTGTGACCAAATACTAGTGACCGAAAAATATCGTCTTATGTCTAAAGGGCACAAAGTAGAACAATGTAGATTTATCCATATTCACTGATCAATCAGATGAAAATGTTTTAGTTCTACAGAAACTCTGTTGCTACAAAATATCCCTGCGAAAACGATTCAGACTGTGAAGTTGAATGACACCGTTTCAAATGGTACAAAGAGTATCTATTACATCAATATTGCAGGCACACCTTGATAACAAGTTCTAGCTTGTACGAAACTTAAATGAGGGTTTTTATACCGACCAAATCCAATCATCTGACATAAAGTTTGAGAATATTTATCAATCCGAATTAGATTTTTATTAATAATCAATAAATCAGTTGTAAAATGACAGAAGTAACTTTCTTCAAAACAACCCTTCAAATAATGTCAATCCGCCATGAAATTTAACTTCAATATAGAAATAAGAATAAATTCTACCTAGTGACTAAGAGTTTAAATGGTTTGAATTAAACAAATGGAAAATTAAGAGTCTCCGATAGAACACAACATGCACCAATCGAATCATACTCGACGGAGAAGCTTTGGAAGCTGTAAAAACCTTTACATATCTGGGCAGCATCATTGATGAAAACCGTGGATCTGATGCAAATGTGAACGCGCGAATCGGCAAAGTAAGAGCAGTAGATCTACAATTGAAGAATATCTGGAACTCAAAACAACTCTCTGTCAATCAACAACAAAGTCAGAATTTTCAATACAAATATCAATACAGTTCTACTGTATGAGGCGGAATCTTGGAGAACTACGAAAGCCATCATCCAGAAGATACAATTGTTTATCCACAGTTGTCTACTCAAAATTCTCCGGATTCGGGAGCCAGCAACAACCTACTGTGGGAGAGAACAAACCAGACTTCAGCGGAGGAAGAAATCAGGAAGAAGCGCTGGAAGTGGATAAGACACACATTGAGGAAAGCACCCAACCGCGTCACAAGACAAGTCCTCACATGTAATCCTCAAGGCCAAAGAAGGAGAGGAAGACCATAGAACACATTACGCCAAGAAATCGAGACAGACATGAGAAGAATGAACAACAATTATATCGAACTAGGAAGGAAGGCCTAGGACAGAGTGGGTTGAAGAATGCTGGTTGGCGGCCTATGATCCATTTAGAGTAACCGGCGTAAGTAAGTAAGTGACTAATAGTATTTCAACTAGAATAAACCCGATACGACGTCATAATCCTTAGAGGTTCTATAAAGAGTAAGAATATAGAACTTTATAGATAAAGGATAATGTATTTGTGAGATCATTTAAGTTGTATTTTCTGAATATATACTGTTATGACGGGTGTGACTGCAGGTTTTGATAAGTAGCGTTTATTGATCGATTCGGTGACACGTTAACACGAACGAACGGCCTACAGTTCTGATTGGTCCTGCATCCCTGTCTAGCCCAGTTAGTTGAGTCCAGAACACAAGTTTCAGCCTCGGATATATGAATCATTATATTTCAAACATACTTTGTTTATATACCAACCAAGCATACTACATCGTACCATAAAATAGAAAACAACATTTTGTACAATATTTAACAAGTGAACAGATATCGACCAATTGGCAATGTCCATTTAAAGTCCAAGGACACCATTGGACTTAGCATGATAATTATTGGTTTATTCCTCTGCATCCACAACACCTCCCCTTTTTTTTGAAGATCCGGAGTTGATATCCGGATTTTGGAATTTTCTGGTTCATCCTCCCCCACGAAATAATGTTGGGTCCTCATATCCCCAAGTTAAAATTAATTTGACTTTATTTAACACATAATTGTCAGATTGAACAGAGAAGTCACTGAAAGTGATTAAATAGTGGGGAACAATGTCGCTTGATATGAGGTCATCAACGTTTGATTCTTCTGGAACATTATCATGGGATTTGTTGAAAATCTCATTTGTAAACAGTTGACCACTGAGACAATCAACATCTATCAAAATTGCATTAGATTTCTGATCATCATTTGATGCATCTAACACATTTTCTGGTACAAGAGGATCTAGATAATAAGATTCATCACAATCTTCTGTTGTTGACTGATGAGGACCATTTGAAACAGCTGGATTCAGTGTACTGCACGATTCGTTCCCTGCTCCGTTGTGGGCGGGTACTGCAATTAATTTATGAGCATTTAATGAGAGATCTTCCTGTGAGCTGGGTACATCATTGTCTGTACACGTTTCAGGAACAGTGGGATTTGAACCCACGACAGGGAATGTTTCCGAATTTGACATTTCTGGACAACTGGGCGGATCATGAATGATTGTCTCGTTCACATCACTGGTCGTCCGGGATTCACAGAGGCTTTTATAGGCAGCTTCATATGTTCTGCAGTTGTTTTCCAGCTCAGTCTGCAGATGAGAAATGAAATTACCAACTTCTGTTGCATTTCCGAAACATGGAAAATTTTCCAACAGTGTGCGTAAATTTTCTAAAAAATTCAACTGGCTATTTTTGAAGCACTGCTGTTGTTGCTCAAGTAGAAGCTGTAATTGATCGGAACAGGTAGTCATTTTTTTTCAGTACCAGCAATGAAAATTAACTGTAGGAATAATGACCAATGTTGCTCAAGGACGCTGGTGACAATCTGGATGCTGATTGGTCGAAACAATTAGCCTGAATCGCGTCCAATTACAAGGTTCAAAATTTTTCTCCACCCCGTCGCCAATTGTTATGACGGGTGTGACTGCAGGTTTTGATAAGTAGCGTTTATTGATCGATTCGGTGACACGTTAACACGAACGAACGGCCTACAGTTCTGATTGGTCCTGCATCCCTGTCTAGCCCAGTTAGTTGAGTCCAGAACACAAGTTTCAGCCTCGGATATATGAATCATTATATTTCAAACATACTTTGTTTATATACCAACCAAGCATACTACATCGTACCATAAAATAGAAAACAACATTTTGTACAATATTTAACAAGTGAACAGATATCGACCAATTGGCAATGTCCATTTAAAGTCCAAGGACACCATTGGACTTAACATGATAATTATTGGTTTATTCCTCTGCATCCACAACATATACTTTACTCTATTTCCTCACTGCTAATATTTTAGAATATAATGTACTTGTAATTAATGAAATATAGATTATCTTGTAAGTCATTCTTTAAAACATAAGTTGAGATTGTAACTAACCTAATGAAATTACTTCCCTGTATAATTTGAATGTTAAATATTTCAGCGAAATAAATAGAGATTATCATTCAAAAATATACATTTTTGTTTTACTATTAAGAAGGTCATAGTTGTATATACATGTCTCAAAACTAGGATGAGTTAGTTATTCAGTGTTCAATAATATTTGATAGTATTATAATGAATAAGAGTACAGAATTATGGAATCATTTTGTCAAATTTGAAGAACCCTACAGAAAAAATAGTTCATTTTACAAAATGTTAATCAATTTTCTCAAGTTTCATTGTTCTTTTATTTCCATTCTGTTTGTTTTGTTCTCTTTTCGTCAATCTTCTTAACCTTCTGTTTCGAAGCATTCTACTTTTGATTAATGATACTTACTACTTATATCTGTTGACACCAGTAGCATACACCGTAGTATACTATGAAACGTATCAGTACACGACAATGACCAGCTATGTATGATACATATTGCTTGCAGACCCTTTAGTTAATGAAACCCATCATTTTAATACAATCCATTATAATTTATTGTTCTAATATTGTAGTAGTTTTAGTCGGACCTAAGAAAATACAATTCATAAATCATCTAACATTTTAGTCATTTTCAGTCAATATTACTTTTTCTAATTTAAATAGATAAAGATGTTCCTATTTTTATTCTTGTTTCAATTTAATAATTTATTTTAGTAGTTAAGATCGTGGATGTACACTGTTGGGGAGTTCCACAGTAGGACGAAAAAGTCTTCCAGTGATTCTAGGTTTTCCATGGTGGTCTAGTTTAAATTCACTCATGAATTCAACTATAAAATTACTAAAATCACCACAAACCCCCCTTGTAATATTAATTAAAATATGTTCACTAGTGATGGTCTCCAAGAGGTAGTTCCTGAAGTTCTAGTGAGTGAAGTTCAACCGCGTCTGTTGTGAGATAGTAACTCACTGAAGACAATGGTGAATGTGTGGCTCAATTTCGTGAATTGGTTGAAGTTAGACATTAACACCTCTGGATGCTGATTCAGTGGTTTAGATGTTAGGTGTTCACGCGCGAAACCGAAGTTCCTGGTTTCGAATCCTGCATGTAGGATCGTGGATGTGCACTGCAGAGGAGTCCGAAACTCGAACGAAGCCGCCATCCAATGCTTTCAGGTTTTCCATAGTGGTTTAGCGTTTATCGACTCATGAATTCAACCGTTAAATTATAACAAACAGCGTTTATATTTACATCCAATTTTAATGATGTAACTATTTGTAATAATTAATTGATTATGAAAATTCATTGTACTTTTAGTCTTCTATTTTTTTTTAATTTTTCAAACGTGTAACTAACTGATTAGTATTTTGTTAAATTGGCTCACCACCATCTAATTGATATCCACGTTCTATCCTGATGAAGAACTAATTGGTCAGAATGAGACTTTATAGAAATTATAATAATTTAATGGTTGGATTCATGAATCAATTTAAGCTAGATCATTCTGAAAAATCTGGAAGCACTAGACGACCGTTTCGTTCTAGTATAGGACACATCAGCAACGTACTCAACTTGTTTTGTTTTTGTTTTTTTGTTTTTTTTTTAAAAAAAACACAAACATGTTAGAATCAGTTGATTAATTTCCCGACTGATTAGTCACATAGATACAAATAGGTGAAAAATAAAATGCAATGAAACACTTGGTTTTATGTATCTCTTTCTTTCTCTCTCTCTCCCTCACTCTTCGTTTGTGTGTATGTGAAATATAATAAAATAACAATATAGTAAGTAATATTCCGTTATTATCGATCAGGTACCTTTGTCTCCATGTTTCTAACCAATATTAATAAGAAAACACAATCAAGTGTGCACATGAATACACATAGATATACATATGTATATGAATGGTGCTTGTTAAGCTATTAGGTGTAAACATAGATGAGCATAACTAAAATGATCAATAACTGTTTACTATATTGTATACATAAATATTAAATTAAGAAAGTTATAAACTAAGAATAGAAGTTATTAGTTAGTTAGTAATAATGATTATAATTAGCGGAATATTCTGTTTAACTAATAAGCCATTTTGTTTAATAATGTGTAATTCATAATTGGACAAGTTTTACCAATAACAATCTCATAAGTAAAATTTCTATATTCAGTAATAATATGTGGCCAAAAATGAAAAAAAAAAACACAACAACAACAACTTAATTTTAACATGAATGACTACATTGCAACCTGGTCGATAGCATCTGATCTGCACTAAGAAAGACTTGATATTACATTAACATTGATCACCACCTAGTGATCATTCAATCGTTGTTGCTACCTTGAAATGGTGGTGGGGCTGACCTATCGTAATGAACAAATCGAGCTAGACTGACCGAAACAATCGCTTCTCAAAGTCCTACAATGCCAGATAGGTCGGGTGAAGAACGGTAAGACTAAAAGCAGCAAACCCAAGGTCCGAAGGCGACCCTAAAAATACACACCTCGCCTTATGAGATGGATATCCGTCTCTGGTGGTAAAGTCCCGACAAGTACGAAGGTAACACAAAAATTACCAACAAAAGCGTCATGCGTGTCCGACCTCAGGCAGTTGTTTCTTGGAAACTGCGGTCACACTCTCAGGTCACTAAGACTACGTTTAATCAAATTTCGTTTTCCGGTACCTCCAGAAGAACACTTCCACGGTGCGGGAAACCGGGAGCAACTAAATGAATAAAACAGTTTTAAAGTATTTGATATGGTACAAGAAACGGGACTTAGGATGTGTATTTCGTTTTTTTTAAGAGTCATCACCTGGATTTACTGACATCTTAGTATTGATATTCATCGAGAGATTGAAACAGTGAACGCTTCACTTTAAGCCCTAAGTTCATTATCGTACGAGCTACTAAGTTCGAACAAACATTGATATGTTTCACAGAATGAAGATATTAGTAAAAGTTTGTAAATTCAAGACTGTGGTCTAGAATATCAACTACGATCGATTGCAAATTTTTGCCGAATATTTTAGTTTGTTGAAAGTCTCGTTTGAGATGGTGGAGAAGATTTGTAGCTCAGGTGGATGATTTGGATGGAGTTTTGTTCTCTGAGCTGGATGATTTGTTCGTGGAGCTTTCATCGTTCTTCTGAACGACATCATTAATACAAACTTCAGGTAGAAGTGAAGTGTTTGAACGCTCAGAGAACAAAACTTCATCAACATTTCCTTTGTTTACCCCCAACTAACCATAGTCTTTATTAATATTCAACTGAATTGAATGTAAACAATATTATATTTTATTTTGGTACAATATAGAATTCTCAGCACAAAGTATTTCAATAAGTCTCCTTTTCTTATTTCTTGATCGATCCTTGCGGTAAATATTAAGTGATCGCCAGTTAGATGTTAACAGTTCAGTAAATCGTCATCTGAATGCATATTGCTAACAACCACGATGTCTGTGATTGGGCTCCCCTGTAACTTGTACAACGAAAGGTTGTACACTTTTCACTAGCACACCTGAATAGGTTATGGGACTGATAGGCATTGTTACAGAAATATATTAGTTTAAGTAAGTACAAGCAAAAGTGTGACCACCACCGTATGGACCAGTCAATAGCGTACGATCAACTGATGCGCGTTGGCTGTCCTTGACCTTGATAGGGGTCGATGATCTGTTTGATATTCAGTGATAACTGCCGGATGACTTGGCTAGGTCTCAGTGATATTTCACTGGCAGGTAAGCCATCTCCACTCTGCATCCTTTCTCTTCTCTCTATTCCATTCGTTTTATATACAAAATATATGTATTCACAAGTCCATTCTCGTTACTCAACTTATTCAATTATGTTATTGACTAACGCGATTTAAGTCGATGATTATATACGAGGATAGACGATAACAAATATTCATACAATCTAATTGGAGTCAGATCCACGGGCCACTAAAATGGAGAGCCCGTCAACAAACATCTTCCGATCTAAACAACGATAAAATTACGAGCCTCCACAAAAGTGGTGAGCCCGACGTGATGAATAGTGGGATAAGAAATGTACACACACCTGCGCGCTCATATAAAAACAGTCAAGACTGATAAGCGAATAAATGACAAGGTCAGAATGTAACTCAAGTAGAATGAATAGAATGGGCTGTCCAAAAGCTAGAATAAGGTATATGGGCTTAACATAATAACCGACACTACAATCAGATTGTTCGAAATGTATTACTCTAATCTATCATCACATAGTTCTAATAATCTTCGTCTTCTCATTACACCATACAAAGTTATGACAGATTAAATTCAAAATGGGGTTTTGTGGATATTATGGTGATTTAATAGTTAACATCATGAGTCAATCGGGGCTAGGACACCATGAAAAACCTAGGGGCACTGGACGGTTGTTTCGTCTTAATATAAGACTCCTGAACAGAGGGCATCAACGATCCCCCCCTTGCGAGATTGGAACCCAGGATCTATCAGTCTCTCACTCGAACGCTTAACCTCTAGACCACTGGGTTGGATCATGGATGTGCACTGTTGAGGAGTCCCATACTAGGACGAAACGACCGTCCAGTGCTTCCAGGTTTTCCATAGTGGTCTAGCTTCAATTGACTCATGATCTCAACTATTAAAATATTATTGAATCATTAATTAAAGAAAAGATTCGAGATTGTCTAACAATCCAGTTTTCAATAGTTTTTGCGAAGTTTTTATTCTTTGCTTTTTTTACTCTCCCTCTCTCTCTACATTTGTATTTCGTTCAGATTTCTCATGTTGGTTATTCATTCATTTAACTCATAAATAACAATTTAAAACACTCGAATTAACGTAAAAAATGAATGGAAAATTGTTAGTCTTGTAAAGTTATTAAGATTTCCTCAGAATTATCATGTCTGAACCATCATCTCCACAACAACAACATCAACAACAATCTGAACATCATGAACAATCACAAAGTCCACATAGTGAAATCGGTAATGAATCTACACAGAATAATTCACCATCGATAATAACCATAAATCAAGATCAACGTGAAACATATTCCAGAGAACGACGTCATGATCGTAATGTTTCATTTCGTCATAGACGACATCAAGATTTATCGCCAAGGTTTGAAGATGATCGAAATATTATCTACTTGAATGATCCAAACACTAGATATTATCGTTCACAAAATCAATTAAGTGATCCATCAGGATTTTGGTTTCAACGCAGTGCTAGTGGTATGTTACTTGTTAATAGCTGTTTGCTATATATGTATACATAAGATATCAGGTTTTGAGAATACCACTTGTTTGCTTAATAAATTTGCAAGCTAAGATATGATAAAGTTTGTTTGGAGAAAATCTTTTAGCTTAGGTAGATGATTTTCATCAGGTTTTGCTTTCTGAACTGGTTCTTTTAACCGTGAAGCTTTTATTTCCCTTCTTAAAATCATCACCGGTACAAGCTTCAAGTAGAAGTGAGTTATTCGGATTTCTCCACATATGACTGATGACTTCTCCTATCGATCTTAATAGGGTATTGTGAATCAATTGTTTGGACAATACATTTGTTATTATCAAAAAGATTAAGCTGGAGAATACCCACAATTTGATGGACTTTTGTACTCTGAGTTGAATGGTTTGGTCTTAAAACTTTCATCGTTCTTCTGAACGACATCATCAGCACAAACTTCAGGTAGAAGTGAAGTGTTCAACTTTCCCCATATGTGATTCACAGCTTGTCCTGTAGACCTCGGTGTTGATTGGTTCTTGTTGACCTTAAACTTATCATTGTTCTCCAACATACAGTTGATCATTTGTTGAATTACTGTCCATCATTAAAAGTTCTTGTGTTTATTGGACAAAACATGGGCATACATATGAGCACCTATTAAGAAGGAAATGAACTTCACAATCTCATCATTTTTTATCCTCTAAATATAATCTACAGCTAGACTTTCTTCCATCTAATCATAGTATTTGATTGAGATCATGAACCGACTGATGTTTGACCACCACTGAAAAACTGGAAGCATTGGACGGCCGTTTCGTCAAATTGTGGAACTCCTCAGCAGTGCACAACCACGATCCCGCTCGTGGGATAATGGTTAGCATTGGAATCAACGACGCGCGTTTCGTCCTATTTGAGAATTGTCAGAAATGCGCACAGTATGTATATATGCCAATAAGTTACTGAGCATTTTCAGTCCTAAACATCAACGGGAAGATTCAAGTAAACAATACTAAGTAATCATAGTATTTTTGAGAGTTGTACTGCTGACATTTCGTTGTAGTCTTAGATGTTTATGAACAAACAAGACAATACAAACTTGATTTTATTGTATATAATGGTTTACATAAGTAATATATCAATAGGTTAACGGTTATACATTAGTTTGGTTAGAATCAATCGAGTTTATGAATTCTTCTAAGCATAAAGTGCAAAACAGAATATCAGGTAGGTTCAATTCTCTCACAAAAACCAGGGATTTGTTTATACTTTGCTTAATATAGGTCATTTTGTGAGATAGACTATTTTTCATACTAAATCAATGTCATAAACCTACATTGTCTAATATTTGAGGAAGTTAGGTGGTTGTAGACAGTAGGTGGGAAACCAATGGACTTAAGTTTTGTGTTAGTTAGTACTCATCATCAAAGTTAATCTGAAATCTTGATGGAATTGATGATCTGTGTGGGATCTCAACATAGTGCACACGATGCTAAGTCATTAAAACCATTGACCCTATATCGATTTTATGAACAAATGTCATAGACCGCCGACCAGCATTCTTCAACCCACTCTGTCCTAGGCCTTCCTTCCTAGTTCGATCCAATTGTTGTTCATTCTTCTCATGTCTGTCTCGATTTCTTGGCGTAATGTGTTCTATGGTCTTCCTCTCCTTCTTTGGCCTTCAGGATTACATGTGAGGGCTTGTCTTGTGACGCGGTTGGGTGCTTTCCTCAATGTGTGTCTTATCCACTTCCAGCGCTTCTTCCTGATTTCTTCCTCTGCTGAAGTCTGGTTTGTTCTCTCCCACAGTAGGTTGTTGCTGGCTCCCGAATCCGGAGAATTTTGAGTAGACAACTGTGGATAAACAATTGTATCTTCTGGATGATGGCTTTCGTAGTTCTCCAAGATTCCGCCTCATACAGTAGAACTGTATTGATATTTGTATTGAAAATTCTGACTTTGTTGTTGATTGACAGAGAGTTGTTTTGAGTTCCAGATATTCTTCAATTGTAGATCTACTGCTCTTACTTTGCCGATTCGCGCGTTCACATTTGCATCAGATCCACGGTTTTCATCAATGATGCTGCCCAGATATGTAAAGGTTTTTACAGCTTCCAAAGCTTCTCCGTCGAGTATGATTCGATTGGTGCATGTTGTGTTCTATCGGATAATCTTCCTTTTTCCTTTGTGTATGTTGAGACCTCCTTCTGCTGACGCTACTGCTACACTGGTCGTATTCTCCTGCATTTATTGTTGAATGTCAGCCAATACTTTTTTCAAAGTACTGAATACGTTTTGAAATTATCACTTGGTAAAATGTTTAAATATATGAAATCCATGTTCTCCTTACTAGATATCAGCTTTTAAGTGAATATTTATACTGAAATATGAAACTGAGACAAGCGATTCAAATTGTTTGTTGAATAAACTTGTTTCTTTTTGTTAATACCTAGCAAGAAATATCCGTTTAAGATCAGGAGTAAGCCATAATCATTTGCATCAACTCAACTTACATGTTGATGATAGATTAACAAATCAAATTCGTCGATCATTTCAGGATAGAAGCAACGGCTTAAGTCAAGATACATTAATTGAACGGCAAAATTTAGTTTTGGTTCCAATGTATGGGTTACTTCGTCCTCGAAGATCAAAAAATAGATCTCATAGATTATCAGCAGATCTAGAAAATCCACAACGTCGTCAGGTAGAACAAGATGTTTCTGGTTTCCGAAATTTGAACAATTCGCTCTCATCCCCGTTGAATGAAGAAACTGTAGACCGACCAATTATTTTCACTAATCCTACAAGTCGAAATCCTCATCAACAACCATTATCTACTAATACAGCCCAAACACTCTCTCTACGTTCACCAAATGAAGATAATAGTGATCGTGCTTTACAAGCTGTTCGATCTCAAGCACGAATAGGTTCCGTCCAAACATCCAGAGTTACACAAGCTGTACAAACAAGAGGTTTGTATCAAGGTCAGTTAAGACGTCCTCAAAATGATGTAGCTCACCAGCGTCATATGGATGCAAATCTTGGTGTAAATGATCCATTTGCAATGAATATCACTTCGAGCACAAATCACCTAAGCGGAATGCAGCAGCAGTATGAAAGTGGAGGGCCGAACAGAAGTAGTAATAATAACAACAGTAGTAATCATCATGCACAAACAAATGAAACAGTTGAAACTTATAATTCACCTAATAGTAGCAGAGATAGAGAAATCTATGTATTGCGTAATAACCAGTCATCGATTCAACCTCCTCAATTGTCTAATATCGATAATGCTAGTATGACTACTAGTATAAGTGATGCTAGTAGTATTGAAGATTTACATGTAACAGAAATTGTAGCCAATAGTCATAATGAATCAGTAATACATCGTCCTAGACTATATGAAGCAAATAATTCAGATACTGAAAAAATTGTGAAAAGACAAGAAGTCAAATATACAGAGAAGAGAACAGATGCAACCGATTGGAGGGTAAGTATCACTATTTTAAAATATGAGATAAGAAAAAAAGAAATGGGAACTTATCAAATAGTAATTAAATAAACAAATGCGTTATCACTTAAAATCTGTTGTCATTAGCATGACATCAGATTATATCAGAGCGCTGTGAGCTCTACGTCTTAGTAAAGTTATGTCAGTGATTAAACACAAGTAGTAATCTATGTTATGCTTGAAATAAGATGGTGGTTAGAGGTAGCCTAGAGGAAACCCTGGACCTAGGATCTCAACATAGTGCATGTAATGTCGAGTCACCTAGATAGATTGATGGCCACATCGCAGCTTGGTCGATAGGATTTGATCTGCACTAAGAAGGACCTGGCACACATGACATTGATCATCAACCAGTAATCAATCAATAGAAATGTTATTTTTATCTAGTTCACAGTTACACAGGCGATCAGACATGACACAATAGCTCAGTTATATTGTTTGTAACTAAGACACTAATTAACGGTACGTTAAACTGAGTTAGGTTCACAACAACAGGACTAAATATCTCTATCTACAACATCAATAGTGTAGATGCACAACATATACTACTAATTGATTGTGTAATATAACCCTAATCGAAAACTAATGTCTTTTAAGTTGTGTAATCACGCTAGATTCAATGTTCAACTTCAGGCCAAATAACCAAGCTTTCTCATTTTTTTCAGTAATTTCTAACTCGACTCATCTAATTTAGTGGTATACATTACAAATCAGTTTATCGAAGAAACTTTAACTATACATTCCCTTATTAAAACAACCATTCATATTTCTCAATAATTCGTGTAAGAAATTAATATTCATTGAAATTAAGTAGTTGAATTCATGAGTCAATTAAAGCTAAACCACTATGAGAAACCTGGAAGCATTGGACAGCCGTTTCGTCCTAGTTTGGAATCCCTCAGTGGCAGTGCGCATCCACGATCCCGCCTCGCGAAACTCTCACTCGGGATCTGTCAATCTCGCGCACAAATACTTAACCTCTAGATCACTGGGCCGATATCCAACGCTGTTAATGTCATGTGACGGTTTAGTCAAGACATTTTCATTTCAATGCATAAATTAGAAAGTTTTACTTTAATAATAATTTCTATTCTAAGGTCATGTTTCCGTAAGTAAGAAAGAAAATCAATTAATATTAAGGAATACTAAGCGCAATATATAAATTATAACGATTTTATATTCAACAGTTGAATTTCTGAGTCCTTTGAAGCTAAACCATCATGATAAACCTGGAAACCGTGACCAGTGGAGTATAACCAGGTTTGTTATGAGATAATAACTCACTGAAGAGAATAGTGGACGGTGGCACAACTTTATGTATTGGTTGAAATTAGACATGAACATCATTGGATGCCAGCTTAATGGTCTGGAGATTAAGTGTTCACACGTAAGACTGTGAGAGATCCTCAATTCCAATCTCATGAGGTGCGATCATGGATGCATACTGATGAGGAGTCCCTTACTAGGTCGAAATAGCCATCCAATGCTTTCAGGTATTCCATCATGGTCTAGCTTCAATTGACTCATAAATGTTTTATTATCTAATCAAATTTATTTATGATCATTTAATTACATCACTAAACATGAGCAATTAAGTTTAACGGATCGACAAATTTGTATATGTGTGACTAGATTTGTACACATTTGTAATGGATATCTGCTCACAATAAAATGCAACGCGACCATCGGTTTTGTGCTGTTTTGTTTGTTTGTTTGTTTTGTAATTCCGTTAGAAACAAAAAAGGTACTTGAATGTAATTTAAACAAAAACGAAAAATAAATAAACACCTCGAAAGATTTAATGTTCTTGAAGTTGGATCACATATTGAACAATTGAATGAATGTGTATGTGTGTGTGTGTTTGTGTACGTGATGTAGTGTGAATTAGAGATATGAAATTGATTTACAATACTACTAGATCGTTTATTTTTACCAAAGTAGATATTCTGTCTATAATTAAAGTTACTAGTTGTGCTTTACATCTAACCTCGACTAATCTTTGTTCATGCATGTAGTGTTATGATGCAATTACTCACCAACATGAGATGGTGGACAAGATTTGTAGACTAGGTGAATGATTTTGATGAAGTTTTGTTCTCTGAGCTGAATGGTTTAGTCGTGGAGCTTTCATCGTTCTTCTGAACGACCTCATCATCACAGTTCATGTGAAATACTTAGAAATAGTTTAAATATGTACATGGAATCTTGTTTGTGGAGGGATATATTTGTATCTATATTACTTTCATTGTTCTTCTGAATGACATCATCAGCACAAACTTCAGATAGCAGTGAAGTGTTTGAGCTCCACGACCAAATCATCCAGCTTAGAGAACAAAACTACAGAAAAAACTCACCAACATGATTAATCAAAGAATGCTGACTGAGTGATCGGAAGTTTAAGCGTTCGCTGAGAGATTCGAAGGTATTGGAAAAGATTACTGGAAAGGTCGTGTCTGTGTGTACACTATTGAGGAGTTTCATAATAGGATGAAATAACTGTTCGACACTTTTATGTTACACGTGATTGATACGTCTATTATTTGTAGTCTCGCCAAGCATCCTACTCATTCTTGGTTTTGTCCTTTAAATAGATGGTTTAGACAAGAATCTAGGAAGCGTACATATCAGCTGTCTACTCAAATGACAACTAAACATGACAGAGTCGTATATTAGGATGAAACAGATTTACATTGCATTCTAGTCTCGACAGTTTTCTAACTAAGATTCAGTTCATGATGTGAACTATAGAATTCAGTATTTCACACAAACCTTTTATGATTACAAATTCATTTTAACAATTTTCATTGTTATTTATATTCTTTTAATAGTTGAGATCATGAGTCGATTGAAGCTAGGCCATTATGGAAAACTTGGAAGCACTGGACAAGACTCCACAGTGACAGTGCTCATCCACGACCCCATCTCACGAGATTCGAACTCAAGACTTAGTCTCGTTTGCGAGCGCTTAACCACAGTAGGATAGTGCAACCAGGTTTTCCATGATGGTCTAACTTCAATTGAACTATTAAAATTACTATATAATATCCACAAAAAGTACCCTTCTGATACTAATCATACTTAATTGTTATTCTATCTTAAATATAGGCTAATTTATTTGGAAGTCGTCAATTATGGCGTCAAATGCTTATTACTGAAAGATTTGCTGATGTATGGTTTATTGTTGGCGGTGATGATATATTAGGTAATAATACATCAATAAGTTTACATTCAAATGATTCCAGTGCACCAGGTGGTCCAAAATGTCAAATTAATTGTTGTACAAATAAACAATTATTAAATGTATCATCAACACGATCTACAAATTGTTCAAACAGTATAAATAAATCACGTCTGATGTACAACAATAATGATAGTAATACTACTACTACTACTACTACTACTAATAATAATAATAATAATAATAATAATAATAGTCATAGTAATGGTAATAATAATAATAATCCTCCCAATACAATTACAATTACTACTCGTACTATTACTGCTAATAACAATACTACTACTAATAATACTACTACTAATAATAATAATGATAATAATAATAATAATGTATATAATACTCCATTAGATATATTATATTCAAGATGTACTGATTCAGATCAAGAGAATACTATTGATGATGCAACAGATTTGAATTCAGATGGTGAACAACCATCGTGTCATTCAGATCATAATACAGATAATAAATCCAATGATTATAATTCACAAAACATATCACATAAATTAACTTCAACGAATAATTTATTAAATAGAACAAGTAATAATAATAATAATAATTCAAATTGTATTCATCCAATGGATCCTAGTAAAGGATCATTGAATGGAACTAATGATACAGAACCAATTATTTGGCGTTTTGCTGCACATCGTTTAATATTAGCAGCTGCTTCACCAGTATTTGAAGCAATGTTTTATGGACCAATGGCAGATTGTGATAATAAAAATTCGGAAAATCGTCGAGAATATCATATACCAGATATTCATCCAAAGGTAAGATGTACTTCATAGATATACATATAATTTCAATGATTGAGATCACGAGTCAATTGAAGCTAGACCACTGTGGAAGACATGGAAGCACTGGACGGCCGTTTCGGCGTGGGACGCCTCAGTGGTAGTGAACATCCACAATACCGCCTTTCAAGATTCGAACCCAGGACCTATCAGTTTCGCATGCAAGCGCTTAACCACTAGATCACTGAATCGGCATCCAACGGTGTTAATGTATGACTTCAACTAATCCACGGAATTGAGTCACTGTCCACCATTATCATCAATGAGTTACTGCCTCACAACAGACCCGGTTGAACTCCATTGGCCACTTCTGATATGAATCAACATATACTCACTAGTGACAGTCTCCAAGAGGTAGTTTCTGGAGTTCTAGTGAGAAGCAGTGATCTGTGGAGTTCAACCAGGTCTGTTGTGAGATAGTAACTCACTGAAAACATTGGTGGATCTGTCGCTCAATTTCGTGAATTAATTGAAGTTAGACATTAACAACGTTGGATGCTGACTCAGTGGTCTAGTGGTTAAGCGCTCGCCCACGAGACTTATTTGTCCTGGGTTTCAGTCTCGCGAAGCAAGATCGTGGATGGGCACTGGTGAGGAGTTCATACTAGGACGAAACGGTCGCCCAATGCTTCAGGTTTTCCATGGTGTTCTAGCTTCAATCGGCTCATGATTTCAACCATCGAAATTACTATAATATCCACAAAACCCTTCTGTTATATACATCAATTCAAGTTGTTATATAGATAACTATTGGCTTTTCTTTCAGTGCATTATGGACTGACGTTAGACAGACAATCACTGAAAAAGAAGAAACGACTGGTACTACCTTCAAATGCACCATATACAAGATCTCTGGGTTTTATGAAATGCTTATTAAATCTGTTTGGATTTCAATATATGAATGAGTTTGTAAATGTTTACTTGCTCATTATGTAGGTAATACATAGATGTGTTAAGACTGATAAGTCTTTGCAACAACAGTGTACACAAGAAGCTTGTAATAAAATGAGAAGTTAAATTTTATGAAATCACTATACATGGGAGTATATCAATTAGGCAATTTTAAGATTATGTAACGCCAACCAGGAACAAAACGATAAAAACTCTTTCCTGAACGTTAAGGATCTTCATTTAGAAGAATTATAACGGCTTATAGCGAAAGCCGAGATTCTTCGGAAGTCACTCGGCAGATACTCCTTTTAACAGCCTGAATGAACAATTAATATGGATACCTGGAATGACTGGACAATGTGGGAGACCAAGAGGACCAGTCAGATAGCTACGGAAATGAGAAGGTACAACTTAGTAGTTATCAGAAAAAGTGACAACCATTAGACCCAAGCTGGACAGAAAAAGTTAGATTCGGGAGATATGCTGTTGTACCCTGGTCATGAACGAGAAAATGCTAGCACCGTGCACACTGATGCTATCCAAAGAAACACGAAAAGCACTTATGTGACGGGAGTCTCATGCATCCAGAATCATCAAAAGGGGATTACAATGAATTTTATCCAATTTTATGCACCAACCAATGATAGCAACGATGACACTAAAGATCAGTTTTATGAGAGGCTGCAATAAATCACAGCGTGGTGCCCAGAAAAAGACCTGGACACCCAGATTATACTATTTTTGTTAGTGCTAATGGTATTATCTGGCACTTATTCTCGTGTTACTTGCTGATTGAAATCTGAATATTTTGACCGTTGAACTACAGCTTCATGTCTGTAACAACTGAACCATGTTTAATGATCAACGGTAGAATTCAGGATCCAAGTGTTGACTTATTCGAAACTTATTAATTGAATAAATCAAGGCGCGCTATGTTGGTTGGAAACCTGATTAAATTTTCTGAGAAGAGAATTATATATATATATATATATATATATATATATATATTTAAAAGTAAGAGATACCACCCCTAAATCAGGCAGGGTCTGAAAAGTCAGAAAAATGAAGATTTCGAAAATGCGATAAAAATGATCTTGGTGGTCTACTAATCGTATTCCAACACCAGACAATGAATGGGTTTTGAGCGTTCTGTAAGCCCTAACGCTTTAAGCTGGGCTATTTCGTTTCCTACCCTACATATGTGTTTTATGCAGTATAAGCTATAAAGCTATATTGCTCTGTAGAGCTGAAGTTCTCATATGTGACAGGAGGTTTGTCATTGATATTGTGGTTCGTTCGGCATTACTTTGGCAAGTTTTACTGACTGTTCATGCACATAATTGGCTTGCTGGTTAACCGATTTCCTTCATAATGGTGGTTGCTTTTCAGTGTTCTCAAAGATCATCGTAATTGGAACATTGTAAGACATGTCGTTATTGCTAACATTAATGAATTTAACTGTCGTGTAACTAAAATCGGTCAAGTTTGGCCTGTTCGTGCTGTACATAATTGATCGGAATAGCTATACATATGATGTGAATGTTTATATGAATGGTGCGAATGATCCAGCAGAGTGCTTGGTACCTGTGTGGATGCACAACAGGATTGAGTTTTACTATACAGATTGTAGCATTAAAGCCTATACGTTGTCTGGTTCTCCTGTGAAGCGGGATTGAACTGTACTGCTCGGGTTATAAAATGTAAGCCTGGGTGGTGTCTGGCTGTCCTGTTAAACGGGATTGAGCTGTACTGTTTGGGTTGTCATGTGAAAGTCTGAATGATGTCTGGTTCTCCTGAAAACCAATGCAAAATTACCCTGACCCACAAGAATATATTATATAACTTATATATAAATAGTTCAATGCGAGATATGAACTCAATGTCTATCGTAATAAATCAAAAATCATTGATTACAGTCAGGTTATGTAAATAAGTGTATGAATAATAATGTACATAATTGATATGCATAGACGTAACGAATGTCTCGTTTATTTAAGCACCTTCTATATGTTTCTAAGTAAACAAAAATTTGCATAAAAAGTTTTAAAAAAAATGATCAAATATAAGTAGATTTAAATGTAAAATTAAACAAACATTCATAACTTTTCAATTTCACTGTTAACCACCATCATCCATCTTTGCTTTAAATAAACTTGTGACTTTTAAGGTTATATGGAGACAATCCGCACAGAATACACATATGCTAACATGAGACTGATCAGTTGCAGTTCTAAATAACAGTAGGAAGATACATCTAAAACAACATCATGTGAATTTAAACTTTACCCCATTACACAAGCAAGTGGTTAGTAGGACTCAGTAGTTAAGTGGATAACGCGATGGCGTTTAAAGCGAACGGTACTGGGTTCGAGCCCCAGAGTGAACGTCAACTCAGGTGCAGGTACATCCAGCTGACGAGTCCCGAAAAGGACGAAACGTGCGTCAAACTGGACTCCACTTTGCAATGCTTTCCTCATAGTTAATGACTTATTGTGAACCAAGGAGCATTGATTAGTAAAAAAACAAAAGTTGGGTGGATTGTTGAGTTTATCGTTTTGCGTCATTGACTGACTTTAGTTAAGCAATTATTTCAAACCAGGAAGCATTAAATAGCTGTTTCGTCCTAATATAGAACTTTTCAGAAGTCATTATTCGTCACCTCATCGAGAACAGAAATCAGGACCTTCAATTCTTACGACGAGTACTTATCCCACAAGTCTCTGAGTTACAATTTAGTAGTTTACATTTCTAGTTCCAATGAGTACATGTTATCGCAAAGATATCACACATGTCACTTACTAATATTTGCGCTGTCTCTTAAGTAGCTAAATTATATTGATCATAGTTACTCATCACAACTCGGGGAATCTCCTCTAGGAATTAGTCCTTAATCAGTACATAATAATTGTTAGTATAGAAAGTTGTATTGAGGGCTATATTTGTAGTTCTACATCATTAGAATGAAGTCTCGATCAGCTAATTTTATCTAAGAGTATCATCATTTTACACTAGTTTTACATTAACAAAATGACTATTATAATTTAAATCACCGTGATTTGCTTATGGTGGAACTATTAAGTAAAAAAACTTTGAAAACTCAATTTCACAATTTTCAAACTTGAAAAACACGAAGTTCAACGAAGAGATTTGTTTTCAACAAATTTATGATTAAGCCTGTAACCCCTCTGGAGCTACTGCCGGTCACAAGCCCGAATAAAATAGGAGGGTTGAGCATGGGGTCGTGACTTTCGAAGAAACTCAGCTTACACTATGAAGTGTAATAACTCATCTAAATGAAGACCTAACTCCCAGGACAGAGTTTAAATGGTTTTAATTATTTTTTCTGGTTAGCGTTTTTTTAACGAGTTAGTTTTCTACGAGATGGGGTCGCTAACCCTATGCCCAAACCTCTTCCTTTATCTGGGTTTGAGACTGGCAGTAACTCTAGAAGAGCTACAAACGGAGTTGTGAAAATGAATGAGTTATCAACGGATTATAATGTGAAAATAGTTATTGTTACAGCATAATAATAAATTCCTTGAAAAGGGGTCACTTCAGCTAACTGATTTTAGCTAAATCACTACTAATAACCCAGAAAACCTGTTTCATCTAGTACGGAAGTTCTTAACAATGTACATTCACTAACCCGATGTGGACGCGTAGTGCTTTGATGACAGCAACACACTGATTGATCCACTTTTATTGTTCAGTGATACGAACATTTTGTTTTTGTTTAACCGAATAAAAACTCACTTGATCAATGCAGTATTCAACTATTCAAGAAAAATGGACTATTTGGTGAGACTATAATTTATGGACGACCTTCGAGCGGCGTGTAAGTGACTTTGGGAACGTCCACCAACTTACTAGGGCTAAATGATAGTTATCAAGCAGTATGAACAGTGGATATTATGATTTACAGTTGATGGTTACGGTTAGGAATAAGATTTCAGGTTTTCATCACGAATTAACATCAGCTAAAATTTCAATAGTTGAAATCATGAGTCGATTGAAGCTAGACCACAATGGAAAATCTGGAAGCACTAGACGGCCGTTTCGAATTAATATGAAACTCTTCAGCATTATGCATCCACCATCCTGCCCCCCCTCCGCAAGATTCTTACCCAGGATCTATCAGTTAAAATCCCTAAACGCTTTCTAACCAAATGCATGGGTGAATTTCACGCCAAAAATCCAAGACATCTCAGCCTGAATCTGATTGGTTCTTCCATAAATTAGTCTATTGTATCATAGAAATTACATTTGAATTACTTATCCTTACTCATTTCATAATCCTAACACCAACTACCCCCACAACCCGATCCGCTTTATTGTTTTTCTTCTTATTTCTTCAACATTTTAGGCATTTCAAATTATGCTATCTTATATCTATAGTGATGAATTATTAGTGGAGAATGATATCAATTTATTATTCTATTTATTGTATGCAACAAAAAAGTATATCCTTCCACGTTTAACACAAATTTGTGTTGAATACTTAAAAGTAAGTCTATTCATTTTGTTATCTTTGAAAGGATTCATTGTTGTTGTTGTTGTTGTTTTTCTTAATAATATAACTAAAAGCTAACGATATGTTGATAACTGAATGTAAGTTATCTAGAGAATTTTGAATCTAGGTTTTATGTTAGTCGGCATATTTCTTCATTACAAAAAGTAATTGAAGTCTTCCGGAAACTGATACTTCACTGATGGAACCTGAACTGATATTTCGTCGTACTATAGGACTCTTCAAGAGTGTACATACATGATCCCACACGTAGGACTTGAACCCAGAGCCTTTGGATCTCATTCGCAAACGGTTAACTCCTAGACCAATGAGCCGATATCCAATTGTGTTAAATGTCTAACTTTGGCCAAACCACGATACTCCACAACCATTTTAGAGAAACATTATAACTATTTTGATATAATAAAACTAGAAATGATTTCTGTATAGTTCAACCGAAGAAATATTGATCTACCGGTATGGATATTTCTGAAGAATGTCTTTAGAAACTACTAAAATTTTATACCTACTCATTAGTGAAGTCCATATTTTTGTACTGAACAATGAACAGTACCTAATACATAAAGCCTGATGAAACATTTTGGCTACTTGAATCAAAGTTCACTGAGCATCTATAGTAGAACAGGCGAATGCTAATTCTCTAAGCTGATAAATTTTACTTTCACATTATTTATTTATTTAAACATATAAACATTGGAACAAGGAGGCACCAAATAAATGTGCACCACATAAATCATTCGATTTGTGTGAGGACTCGAATACTGCCTGGGTGCTCAAACCGAAGCAGGTAGTTTTCTTATGGGGGCTACACTTGGAGTCTTCGACCTAAAGGTCTAATTCACAAGGCAGTGGACCAACGTTAGGAGATGCAGTCTCGTGATAGCCGGTACCCGAAAATAAGTTCATACACCATTTATTCCCTTAGGATCTTAGAACCAGCTTATGTGCACCACAGCTTTGGAATCAGAGTTTTCCAACTTATCTGGATAGACTCCTCGTGTCCATCAACCCAATTAAAGTGTCGAACATTCACTTTTCATTCCTTCAAATTTCGTAAACTTAAAATGTGCAATAAACTAATTTCTTTTTCTTTCTTTAATTTATTTTATTATCATACAGGATTTAATTACAGCTGAAAATGTTTGTATGATGCTTGATCGTAGTATATTTTTTGATGAAGTTGATCTAACTCGTCGATGTTGGCATGTAATCGATGTTTTGGTAAGAATTCTATTATTATTGTAATAAGTGAAACGTTTGTTTGATTTTGTTTGAAAATTCACCTAATGTCACTTGTAATAAGTCTATTTCTTATATTTACAGTTATAAATCATTAATTTGTATTCAAAATAGTCTTTGATATTTCGTTAAAGATAACCTGTAATCAACTTTGAACTTTCATGTCGAGATAACTGATACACTTTCAGTCATGTAAAGATTAAACTTTCAAACAAGACATGAACATAGAATCGAGTTATTCGTTACGCAAGTGATTTCTTATAGGCCTTATATATTACACGCTGACTAATTCATGAAGAATAAGGAATGTCATATTTGTGTATTCGTTGATTCTGATTGAGATTCTGTCGGTTAAACCATAATCAGAATAATAATCTTGACGATTCAATAGGGTTCAGGTAGCTGAATGAAATCTTCAAAAATCCCTTAGAAATAGTAGTCATTAAGTAAGGTATATCTATAATCTCAAGAGATATGAGTCAAGTTGATCGATAAAATTAGATCATTGCATTAGGCTGATAATTCGTTACTGAACAATGATCAGTCAATGTTAGTTTAATGGAATAGAGTATTGATCAATGTCTATCAATCAAATGATAAAAGTATTGATGGGAGATCAACTTTATGCTCTTTATCCATTTGGTATGATGGATATTGAAGCATGAAAATGATGTACAATGGATTTCACATAGTAAACTATAGACTATGTTTCTTGTGTAATATATTGTCTTCTAGTAACCCTTAGGCTAAATCTACACAGTAACTTGAACACAGGATACAATGTGAGAAATATGAAAGAAACCCTTTACTCCAATGGTTTGTTTATATACAGGAAATCTAGAGTTTTTATGACCCAAATCTGGTAATGAATTTATCTAGATAGTCAACAGAATCTTCAAATTATAATTTTGGATACATAAAATATAATATGAATGATCATAAGTATCTTTTTAGTTAAGAATCATGCCTTTCTAGATTATCAGTTTAGGGGTTGTAAAGATTGTTAAGTTGTCGATTGAGATCATAAATTGATTGATGTTAGAACACACTTGAAAACCTGGAAGCACTGGATGGCTGTTTCTCCTTAGTATGGAACTCCTCAGCAATGCTCATCCACGATCCTGCTCGCAGGATATAAATCCAAAACATTCGGTCTCGCGCAAGAACGCTTAATTTCTAGACCATTGAGTCGGCATCTAACGGTGTTAATGTCTAACCTCAACCAATCCACGAAATTTCGCGACCATCTTCCATTGTACTGACGTAGATACCTATCTCTACTGGACATGGATTAGTTCCACTGATCACAGCTTCTCACTAAAACTTCGAGAATTCCCTCACGAAGCTAGTCACTAGTGAGCACATGGTGTTTATCAGTATTGCGTTGTGGAGATTACTAGGTTTTCGATTGAGATCATGAATCGACTGACGTTAGACCACAATTGAAAATTTGGAAGCACTGGAAGGTCATTTCATTCTATTATGGAACTCGTCAGTGATGCGCATCCACACAAGAATACAAAATAGTATAACTTACAAGTTTCAGTACATACTTAATTAAGGCAATAACTCAATGAAAATCTGAGTAATACATATGTAATTCATTGGTTTGTACCTTAGAAACAGAAAGTTAATACAGAAACTAATGAATCAAACGATTGTTAACAATTTTCATAATAAGTAATGTGCCTATTAAATAGGCCAAGTGAAATCATGAAAACTTTATCATACACAGTGACCTGAGGGTTTGACCGCAGTAACCGAGGTATAACTGATTGAGGTCGGTCATACACGATCTTTTGTGGGTAATTTTTGTGTTACCTCCGTACTTGTCGGAACTTTATCACCAGAGATGGATATCCGTCGTATAAGATGTGCATTTTTAGGGTCGAATAGGTTGATGCCAAGTGACAAGAATAATATTACTGATACCAAGAGAATGTAACATTTTAAAATGAAAAAGTAGATCATTCAGAAAAGATTTAGTTCATCAGTTAATTTCACTAAATATTTATCACAAATACGTTAATAATGTAAATCATATAACTTACATACCAACTCATGATTTCACTTTAAGGTACAATGACATTATTGAAGTGCACACACACACACACTTGTTTTCGATGATGTAAACATAAACTATTTGATACTTTAAATGATCTATTTCTCGATCGCAATGATAAGTGTCCATTAAATATCTAATCAAACAATGAGTTGAGCAATTCAAATGCTACATTACGCCTGTTAACCTTCGTGGAAGAGAATAGGCCACCTACCAGCATTCTCTATCCTATTCTGTCTTTAGTGATCCTTTCCAATTGTTTCCATTTACTGTTCATCCTTTTCATATCTGCTCCTGATTCTCGACGCAGTGTATTGTTTAGTCTTCCTTCTTTTTTGTTCACCTTCAGGATTCCAAGTTAGCACTTGCCATATGATGAATTTTGACGATTTCTAACGTCTTTTCCTAATTTCTTTCTCATTCGGAAGATGGTTGGTTCTCTCCTATAGTAGGTTGCTGTTGTTGTTGTTGATGATGGTATCTGGCTAACGAATCTTCTGTAGACAACTGCCTAAAAATACTTGTACTATTTTGATGATGATCTTAGTAGTTCTTCAAGTTTCAGCTTCATCCAGTAGAGCTGTCTTGATATTCATATTGAAGATTTTCACTTGAATAAATGTATAGAGTATTAAAAAAATGTATTAAAACTAATAACAGCAATGATTTTCAACAGAGAACATTAAATTTATTAAACCTTGTCTTCTGTATGAGACTGGTAGATCTTAGGTTCGAATCTCTCGAGGCGATGTCGTGAATGCACACTACCACTGAGGAGTTCCACAATAGAATGAAACGGCCGTCTAGCGCTTCCCAGATTTTCCATGGTGATCTAGCTTCAATGAACTCATGATCATAACTATTGAAATTTTGTATGTATGTTTGTTCGTTTTATGTTCCATTAATACCACATGCTTCATTTTGGCATGTGACCCATCAAAAAAATTTACAAAAAAAAAGAATTATGTAATATCTAGAAGACCATTTAATTATGTAACATCGATGAAACCAATTAGTTATGGTTAATAATGAATATAAGTTTTATGAAAATAAAGAAAACAATTTTTTTCTCTAGAATTAACCTACATTGACAAATACCCTTGTTTGATTAATTTACAATAAAGAAACTGAAGATATCAGTTTAGGGGTAGTGAAGATTGTTAAGTTTTTGATTGAGATCATGAACCGATTGATGCTAGACCACCATTGAAAACCTGGAAGCATTGGATGGCCACTTCGTCTTATTGTGGGACTCCTCAGCAGTGTGCACCCACGATCCCTCCGGCGGGATTCGAACCCAGGGCCTTAACCTACTGGACCAATGAGCCGGCATCCAATGGTGTTAATGTCTAACTTCAACCAATTCACGAATTTGCGCGAACATTTTCCATTGTACTGAGGTAGACACCTGTTTCTACCAAACACGGATTAACTCCACTGGTCACGGCTTCTCACCAGAACAGGACGAAACGGCCGTCCGGTGCTTACAGGTTTCCAATGGTGGTCTAACATCAGTCGGTTCATGATCTCAATCAAAAACTGAAGATAATTCATCCATTTATTGTCGGCTTAGTTACTATTTTTTTTTAAATAAAAAGAAGAAAATGAAAGAAAAATCATTATTAAGCTTCAAACTCAGAAAGGGGTTTTTGTGAATATTTTAGTACTTTTTATTAGTTGAGTTCATGAGTCAATTAAGGATAGATCACCATGGAAAATATTAGATGCGTACTGCTGAGGAGTTGTACACTAAGACGAAACAGCCACTCGGTACTTCCAGGTTTTTCATGATGATCTAGCTTCAGTTGACTCATGAACATAACTATTAAACTTTAAACTGTTTATTACATAAAGAAACTTCAAAGAAGTTTACATTATTAACTGAATATAGATTAAGTAACCATAAAAACAAACAAACAAACAACCAAAGATTAGTGGACATTGATTTATTTTCGGTAAAATACTCATCTACTGTATTGCAATTTTATATGGGATGGGTATAATGAAAGTATCCTAATTTTATGATAAACAAGATAACCTGGATTTGAATCCCGCGGGAGGGAGCGGGATCATGAATACGCACTGCTGAGGAGTCCCATACTAGGACGAAACGGCCGTCTAGTGCTTCCAAGTTTTCCATAGTGGTCTAGCTTTAATTGACTCATGATTTCAACTATGGAAATTACTAAAAATCTCCACAAAACGCCTTCTGATAACCAATTAAATTGTAGGTTTTCTTTTTCTCGTAAATAAAATGTAATTTATTAAATAACTTAATACATAAGGATTTTCGTTTAAATTTGATCGAATAGTTTTCACAATATTCAGGTGCCAAGTTGATATGAGATAGCTTTACTTAGAAACAATAAATTCCAACTCATTGATCTAAAAGTAACTAGGGAACCATAACATTCGTACGTCTTGAATTGTATCTCTGTTGATGCTCTTTTATGTGTACTGTTTAAGAATCTTTCAGTTAGATTAAACAAACATACAGTATTATCAGAATGGGTTTTGTGGAGAATTTTAGAAATTTCACTGGTTGAAATCATGAGTCATACTAGGATGAAACGGCCGTCCAGTGCTTCCAGGTTTTCCATGGTGGTCTAGCTTCAATTGACTCATGACTTCAACCAGTGAAACATACAGTACTCTGCGACTTTTAATAGTTCCCGAACCCCAATCGGTCACCTACAAAAAACGAATAGACTATTGATCTTTCCACAACCTTTGATATCAGTTAGTCACTCAGTCAGTCAACAACGTAGAACTTCGTACCACTAACACTGAGATACAATTATCGATTCAAACCCCATGGTGATACAGGTAGTAAAATTATAAGTAGTAATCACTATGAATTATTATTATTTCGAAATATTTAAAGCCCATCTGATTTTTTGTTTTATATTTTAGGCCCCAGATGTATTAATATCACAAGGTTTATTAACATTAAATTCAAATTGTGTACATGATTTAGTTAGTCGTAATACATTAAATTGTCAAGAATCTGAAGTATTTGCTGCTGTTGGACGTTGGGCAGGAGCTGAATGTAATCGTTTAGGTATAAGAGATGTTGTTTCTAATAGAGTACAAGTTGCAGCAAATATATTACCATTAATTAGATTTCCAACAATGACATTAAGTGATTTTGCTGAAAATGTTGCTTATTCAGGTTATCTTTCATTAGAAATGGTAAGTTATTTATGATTATTTTTAATATACTTTAATTCTATTGTATTCAATTCCATTATGAAATGTGTTGAATGTACGTTGTCTTTAGGAGATATGAATTTGCATCTACGCTGGAATACATCATCCATAGAGTAAAAACAAACTGAGTAGTTTTCTTAAGGGATCACTTTGCGAACCTTTGATATCAAAGTTTGATCTTCAAGAGAGTGGAGCAATTAATAAGGTTCTTTCTTATGTTAGCCAGGAAATCAGTATAGATTTGTTCGTTGAGCTCATATGAACCTCTCGTTTGATGAAAGTATGCTTTTCATGTCTTAGTAGACTATCAATCTTACTTCAGCCACGTTCATTTGTTGTTTCGCTCGCATATGTGTAAAGGTAATTATTAGAACTTACTTCAAAGAGTCTATGAATATATGACTTGATAAAAACATTTCTAGATAGAGAGGACTTTATCTGACTCAGTCGGTAATAAGGAAATAATGTTTGTAAACAATTCTAGAGTTTTATAAGCAAAGATGGATAGTGCCTGGTAGTGAAATCAAGGACGTGCGTTTCATCCTATTTGGGATTCATCAGCTGGATGTACCTGCATATCAGAATTGATGTTCACTGTGGGATTCTGAGATGCAGGTACATCCAGCTGACAAGTCCCAAATAGGACGAAAAGCTCGTCGTAGACTTCACTGCTAGCCGCCATCCATCTTTTCAATAATGAAGGTTTATAGTTCAAATGACTACATACTTCCCAAATGCCTTGCTACGGTCGAGAGTGAAGAGAGTAAACTATCCCTCTCCAAGTGCTCTCACGTGGCCACGTGCATACAACTACTGTCAGGAAAGTCCTGTACACTGCTTCTCACAGCAGGGGTGTTGTTTACGAAACTGAGGATGAAAAACGAATGTTCGGCGCTACGACCGGATTGGTGGACTCTTCGTGTCCACCAAGGTGAGTTAGAAAACCCTGATTCCAAATCAATGGTACATATGGGCTAGCTCCAGGATCGTGAAGGAATAAATGGTGAATGAACCTATTGTTGGTCTCTGGCTACCATGCGACTGCATCTCTTTACGATGCTTCACTGCCTTATAGATCAGATCTTTAGGTCGAAGGCTGTGGGTGTTTTAGCCGTCTTCTTAGATGCTAATCCATTGGGTTTTTCCCACATGGGTTCGAATCTCATCCCCGTCGCCACTATTATAATTCCTTTTATTACAACCTAGATATTCCTATTGCTTAGTATTCTTAAACACCAATTCACTTGACAAGTCCTCAATTCAAAACACGATTGAACAGGAACAGAACTACATTCCAAATAACGAGGGGTAGATGGAAGTAGCACAATAAGAAAAACGTTAATAAATTTATAGTTCTAGATTCTACAGTATAGGCTAGTGCTGATTGGGTAAGAATTAGCCAATCAGCGTGCGCTAACGCAATCGTGCATGGTGCATTCTTTATTCCAATCTATATCCGGCTAACACGTATTTATTCCAGTTTTCCATTATTGAAACTATTTCTATTTTAAGCATATCAACCACTCTACTTAATTTCCATAATACATAGAATTCAGACTGTTACCAACTCGAATTCGTCGCCTTCAATCATTAGCAACAATTTATGCCAACATTCAGCTTTCTTCATATTATGATTCTTTGTAAGGACAAATTACTTTTTAATTGAGATCATGAACCGAACAATTTTAGATCACCATTGAAAACCTGGAAGCACTGGACGGCCGTTTCATCCTATTACGGGACTCCTCAGCAGTATGTATTCACGATCCTGCTCGAGGGATTCGAACCCGGGATTTTCAGTCTAGTGCACGAACGCTTAACCTCTAGACCACTGAGCCGTTATCCAGTGGTGTTAATGTCTAACCTCAACCAATCCGCGAAATTGCGCGATCATCATCCACTATACTGAGGTAGATAATTGTCTCTACTTGATATGCATTAGCCCCACTAGTCACGACTTCTCATTAGGACTCCGAAAATTACTTCACGAAGCTAGTCACCAGTGAGCATATTGCCTGAGCGGTATCGTGGATGCGCACTGCCTTTGAGGAGTCCTACAATAGGACGAAGTGGCTATCCAGTGCTTACAAGTTTCCAATGGTAGTCTAACATCCATCAGTTCATGATCTCAATGAAAAACTTAATCATCTCCATAACCCTATACTAAAAATTGTTTTTTTCCCTAATTTATCATAATATTTTCTTAACAATTGAATTACTTAGGTACGTGATTTATTTGTATACATAACAACAAATAAATTGAATATACAAAAAAAAGATAATACATTATCAATAACACGTCGATCAAATTCATTAGCAACTAAAAAAAATGAAAATTCTATTGAATTGACAGAAAATGAAATGAAATTAACAAATTCATCGGTATCTACATCAATACAATTAACAAATAATCAATCATCATTACAATTAATAACAAATTCATTACCAGATTCTGGACCATTTCCATGTGAACCAAGAATAGGACCAAAATTATGGAGATGTTGTCGTTTTAAACGTATTCGAAAAGATTTATTATCATTAAATACATCAAATAATCATAGGCATACAATTAGTTTCTCTGTAGGTTTTTTTCTTTTCATTATGATATTGTATTACAATGTAATGTGATAATATTGACCTTTTGAATTGTTTGATGAATGGAATGAACTAATCATCTGATTATCAGATGTTGTTGTTTTTTTATACTTTAACAAATGAATGTATTTCACAAGTAAGATTAATGAGTAAAACTGATATGGTAACTATAATTCATATGTATGATAAAACCGTAGAACTTAGTTGAGAATTATTAGTTTTTAGTCGCCCCAACCGTTGTTGCTACGTTGACGTGGTGGTCGGGTTTACCTATCATAATGAGCTAGTCGAACTATACTCGCTGGAATAATCGTTCCTCAAGATTCTACAATGCCAGATAGGTCAATTGAAGAACAATAAGACTAGTGCAACAAACCTTAGGTCTGAAGGTGAAGTCGTACTGCTGAGTGTACAGAGGTGTGACAACAGTAAGGTGTTTCCTAGTAAGTGGCCTATACTCTTCCACGAAGGTTAACAGGCGTAATGTAGCATTTGAATTGCTCAACTCATTGTTTGATTAGATATTTAATGGACACTTATCATTGCGATCGAGAAATAGATCATTTAAAGTATCAAACAGTTTATGTTTACATCATCGAAAACAAGTGTGTGTGTGTGTGTGCACTTCAATAATGTCATTGTACCTTAAAGTGAAATCATGAGTTGGTATGTAAGTTATATGATTTACATTATTAACGTATTTGTGATAAATATTTAGTGAAATTAACTGATGAACTAAATCTTTTCTGAATGATCTACTTTTTCATTTTAAAATGTTACATTCTCTTGGTATCAGTAATATTATTCTTGTCACTTGGCATCAACCTATTCCTAATATTCTTGTTGTTGACCGTTGTTGGTACGTTGACTTGATGGTTGAGTTTACCTATTATGATGAACTAATTGAGTTATAATGACTAGAACAATCGTTCCACAAGGTCCTGCCATGCCAGATAAGTCGGTTGAAGGACGATGTAAATAAAAGCAGCACACCCAAGGTGAAGTCATACTGCTGAGTGTACAGAGGTGTGATGGCATTAAGGTGTTTCCTTCAGACAACCATCATAACAGCGGCGCTGCCTTTGCACAAGGAAGTGTGGGGTTAGAAACGGTCGACCCTAAAAATGCACACCTCGCCTTATCCGACGGATATCCGTCTCTGGTGTTAAAGCTCCGACAAGTACGGAGGTAACACAAAAATTACCCACAAAAGGGTCGTATGTGATCGACCTCAATCAGTTATACCTTGGACACTGCGGTCACACTCTCAGATCACTGTGACCAACTTTAATCCAATTTCGTTTTCCGGTACCTCGAGAAGTACCCTCCCACGGTGTGGGAAACTAGGAAGTGATAGCCGCCCTCATACTTCTAACAGTAGTCAAGTCTTTTTAAATGGTAATGATAATGATGTGTGCTACTGATGTCGACGGATATAAGTAGTATATATCATCAACAGTCGAAAGTGAAATACCCTGAATCGGAAGGTTAATAAGATCAAAGTGAACGAGAACAAAGAATAATTGGTGTGGAAACGAAAGAACAATGAAATCTGAGACGATTGACTGACATTTTGCAATTAAAGTATTTATTATATGGTTCTTAGATTTTATTCTGCAATGTGTGTGTTCGAATATAATTGGTTGTACCCCATTTGTGTTCTCGTTCGCTATAATCGGAATGAAAGTCTAATGTTAGACAGTACTGTAAATTAAACAGTCTACAGATTAATGAGCAACACTTCTTGATGTTCGTTTATTGACTAAATAATAAATGAAGTTTTTTTTATTTAGAATGAAGCAATATGTTTAACATAATACTCTCATATTTAGTTAAAAGTAGAATATAAGCAATAACATGCAGTATTTGCATGGCTTTCATCACATGACCTAGAAGCCATTGAAATTCTTCTAATACTATAAAGTTGTCTAGTACCCGTATGGGACATCTGACAGGACTCACACACACACCCCTCCAAGTATCGAATTCAAACACGTCAATTATCAGGATATGTAGGCTATCATTAGACCATTGATAAACAATTAACAATATGAAGAGTACACACAAAACATGGAAACATAGACTCAACCTAACTACTTAAGAACAATAGTTTCTTGTCATCATTATCAGTATTGGGTTGTGGAGATTAGTAAACTTTTGTTTGAGATCATAAATCGATCGATATTAGAGCATTACTGAAAACCTGGGAGCAGTGAACGGCCAGTTCGTCCTATTATGGAAGATGATCGCGCGATTTCGTGGATTGTTTGAGGTTAGACATTAAAACTATTAGATGCTGGCTCAATGGTCTAGAGGTTAAGTGTGATATTGCCTGGGTGCCCAGACCGAAGTAGCTCGCTTTCTTAGGGGATTACACCCGGAGCATTCGACCTAAAGATCTGATCCACAAGACAGTGGAGCAACGTCAAGAGATGCAGTCCCATGGTAGCCGATGACGAACAATAGGTCCATACACCATTTGTTCCTTCAGGATCCTAGAGCCGATTCATGTGTATCATTGGTTGAGAATCAGGGTTTTCCAACTCACCTATGTGGAACCTCCGTGTCTACCAACCCGGTCGAAGCGCCGAACATTCGTTTTTCGTTCTCTCAATTTCATAAACAACAGTAATGCCGCAAGAAGTAGGACTTCTGTGGTAGTGGTTGTATGCATGTGACCTTGTGACGGCACTTGGAGAAAGAGAACTAACTGTAACTACCCTTCGCCGTACCAAGGCCTTTAGGGGCATAACATAAACTCTGGTGCAGATGAGCATCAATTTTAGTTGTCTGATCGCAACTGAAATTCTCCGTACTAAGTAATGACATCTTATCTTTTAGAGAAAATAGAGTAATACTATTTCAATTTGTAAAATATCCACAAACGTATCCTAATTAATTCTCTTTACAATTTTTTTTCTACATTCCAGGTATCTGCATCTATATTTATTGCTGGTGTTGGAATTTATGGTTCAACACAAGTTGGTGATATTCGTACAGTTCATGTTGAATTAAAAACAGGAAATGGAAATACACCTCTACCATCACCAGCTGCTATAACACCAAATTTAAATCAATTATCAGATCGATTGTATCTTTCACAAGCATCTAGAAGTACAAGTGACCTAACTAATTTGAATGTATCTACACGTTTATTTCATAACAATAGTAATACTAATAATAATAATAATAATAATAACAATCGTGGAGGCAATTTAAATATTTGGGATATTACAGGATTATCAAGATTAGATGAAGGTGATTCATTAAATCATTTCAATAAAAAATATTCAACAAAATGTCTTGCTAGTAAACAAATTTCATTACGATCTGATGGAACTAATCGTGTTTATGATATACGATTTCGATGTCCAGTAAAGGTAATATGATATTCATCAATACTACTAACTGTTTCATTTAGAAATAAGTTTCTTTTATGAATTAAGTAAAAAAATTTTTTTAATAGTTGAGATCATGAGTCAGTTGGAACTAGACCATCGTGAAAAATCTGAATGTGTCGCTCAATTTTGTGGATTAGTTGAAGTTAGATATTAACACCAGACGATGTCGGCTCATTGGTCTAGAGGTTAAGCGTTCGCACGCGATACCGATAGATCCTGGGCTCGTATTTCCCGAGGCGGGATCGTGCATATGGACTGCTATTGAGGAGGACCATACTAGGACAAAACGGCCCTTTAGTGCCTCAAGGTTTTCCGTGGTGACCAAGCATTAATTGACTTATCAATTCAACTATTAAAATCTTATTTCTTCAGCAAATGTCTCTGATGATAAAATCGGAAATCTCATACAGAATCTGATAATGTTTAGTGTACCACCTTTTCGTAAAAAAGGTGTTTAATAATTACAGATGAATCAGACTTCAAAACAGGACACTATAAGAAAAGAAGTGGAAGTTGGTGATGATGATGTTGATGATATCTGAATCACAAGCTACGACTATTGATCCGTATATTCTGGGTAACATACAAAGAGTGACAGTGGGTATAAATACGTTTAATATCAACACGATATACACGAATAGAAGAGTTATGGATTGTCTAACCGAATTATATATCACTACTCTGCAGATATAATATTCAAGCATGATATGTATTACTATAAAATGGGAGTGTGGGGAAAACTATGGTCGAAACAGGCAACATTTATTCATTTAATGCTTTGTCTAGTTTGAACAGTAATGGATAGGTACAACAAAAGTGTATGATTATGGATAATAATCATAAATTCATTGTCTAATTCACGGATTGGTCTTAGAGAAACTTTGAAAACTGGGAGGTGCCGAATAGCTACTTCATCCTATTATGAAACTTCTCAATAGTGCACATACACACACACACATGGCCTTTTCAGTGAGCTTACCAAATACCTTCGGATATCTCAATGAACGCTTGAACGTCCGACCACTCAGTCAGCATCCTATCGATTAATACAATCAACGTTAATCATGTTGGTGAGTTTTTGTTGAAGTTTTGTTCTCTGAGCTGGATGATTTGGTCGTGGAGCTTTAATCGTTCTTCTGGACGACGTCATCAGCATAAACTTCAGGTAAAAGTGAAGTGTCCGTACTTCTTCACAGGGAGTTCACAGCTTGTAGGTCTACAGAACAAGCTGTGAATCCCTCGTGCAGAAGCTGAAAAACTGCACTTCTATCTGAAGTTTGTGCTGATGATGTCATTCAGAAGAACAATGAAAGCAATATAGATACATATATATCCCTCCACAAACAAGATTCCATGTACATATTTAAACTATTTCTAAGTATTTCACATGAACTGTGATGATGAGGTCGTTCAGAAGAACGATGAAAGCTCCACGACTAAACCATTCAGCTCAGAGAACAAAACTTCATCAAAATCATTCACCTAGTCTATAAATCTTCCCTACCATCTCATGTTGGTGAGTAATTGCATCATAACACTACATGCATGAACAAAGATTAGTCGAGGTTAGATGTAAAGCACAACTAGTAACTTTAATTATAGACAGAATATCTACTTTGGTAAAAATAAACTATCTAGTAGTATTGTAAATCAATTTCATATCTCTAATTCACACTACATCACGTACACAAACACACACACACACATACACATTCATTCAATTGTTCAATATGTGATCCAACTTCAAGAACATTAAATCTCTCGAGGTGTTTATTTATTTTTCGTTTTTGTTTAAATTACATTCAAGTACCTTTTTTGTTTCTAACGGAATTACAAAACAAACAAACAAACAAAACAGCACAAAACCGATGGTCGCGTTGCATTTTATTGTGAGCAGATATCCATTACAAATGTGTATAAATCTAGTCACACATATACAAATTTGTCGATCCGTTAAACTTAATTGCTCATGTTTAGTGATGTAATTAAATGATCATAAATAAATTTGATTAGATAATAAAACATTTATGAGTCAATTGAAGCTAGACCATGATGGAATACCTGGAAGCATTGGATGGCTATTTCGACTTAGTATGGGACTCCTCATCAGTGTGCGTCCATGACCTCGTCTCATGAGATTGGAATTGAGGATCTCTCACAGTCTTACGTATGAACACTTAACTTCTAGACCACTAAAATGGTATCCAATGATGTTAATGTCTCGCTACAACCAATACATAAAGTTGTGCCACTTTCCACTATTGTCTTCAATGAGTTATTATTTTATAATAGATCTAGTTAAACTCCACTGGTCACGGTTTCCAGGGTAACCATGATGGTCTAGATTTAATTGATTCATCATCACAACTATTAAACTGTAAATTCATTAAGATACTATTTGAATAACATTGGCAGATTCTATCTACTTTTTCTTTCTGTTTTTTTGTTGTTTCAAAACCAAATCCATTTACAGTTGGTTAAAAACAGACGATATTATTTAAGTTTAAGCACATCAAATTCTGATCATCATAATCCAGCATCAATGTCTACATCATCTACAGCAATTAATTCATCAACATCATATATTGGTTTCTATGGTGGCACTGAAATTATGATACATTGTCCATCGGAAGAAACATTAAATAAACGAAATAATAATGAAACAATAACAAATATGAACAAGAAATCATCATCATCATCAACAACAACAACAACACCACCAACACCATTGTCATCTTCTAATATTCGAAAGAAACGATTAGAAATAAATAAATTCAATGAGAATACTTATTTATTAGGTAATAATGAAATGGTTATATTTAATTTTCATGATAGTTGGGATGGTTTAGAAAATGGTAGTGTTGATAGAGGATTAATACCGGATTTATTATTTTATACTTGTTTCTAAGAAAGAAAACAAAGATTTATCATTTCATTTCAATTATTTCTAATAAACATGAACCTAATATGTTCCCTTTCATGTACATTAACTTTTTATTGGTCAATTTCATATTATTGTTATATATGTGAAATACAATTGAAAAATTCTATGAATGATTGAAACTTATATCTATGTAATTGTAACCTTCCATTCCTCATTACCCTATCTTTTCATATGATATTATACTCTAAATTCATATGAATACAACATAACTATTGCTCAATATGATTCCTTTCTAAAAATTCGATATCCGGTGAAAACTACTTAAATGATTAGTTAGTAAGATAAATTTTCTAATGAAAAAAAAAAAGAAACGAAGGACATTGATATTTCAGAATTATTTTATTATTAAATATCAGATATTACATCATCTATTGTTTCATTAAAAAGTCAAGCTTATTAATGATTTGAATAATAATAGATAATCAATAAACAATCATCTAATCATCATATATTGTTGTCATTGTTGCTCAATAAAAGGCCATTATATATGGTTGAAGATGTTGTGTGATATTCATCGTAGAGTATTTAGATCTATCCGCTATTTTCTTCCTCTTCTTCTTCTAAATGATGAATTCTACGCGTCATCTTTCACTACTTTATCTTCATTCGTTTATTTTTTTCAACAATATTCCCGACCTAGTGGTTAAGTGCTCGTGTGCGAGACTGACAGGCCCTTGGTTCGAATCCGACGAGGCGGGGTTGTGGATGTGCGCATTGCCACAGAGGAGTTCCACAATAAGACGAAACGACCATCCAGTGCTTGTAGGTTTTCCATGGTGGTCTAGCCTCAAATGGACTCATGAACTCAACTATTGAAATTTCTATTTCTATTAAACATTTCTTCTTCAGCTATATTATTCATCATGTTATAATTTCCACTGCTATTGTGCTGAAGTGCAATGTGGTGTCAATGTGGATTAATACACATTCGCTTTATGTCCTAATATAATCAGGACGATAAGATCAACATAAACAGAGAAATATCAAGAATTCTAAAGATTAACGTACATTATCCACATACTGAAGAAAGACAACATAAACGCCAAACAGTAAACCGCATTGACACAATAGTAAGAGTATACCACTAACAAAAGCGATAAAAGTAACTGTTCATACGCTATGTACTTAGTTAAGTTGCAAAGTTTTTTTTAACATGGGACAACTGATACCTTAGCGATGAATAGTCAGTCAATCAGTCTGCAACAACATAGAACTTCGTACGTACGTACATCAGTTAAAGTTGCCATACCACATTACCACACTGATACAATTGTCTATTCAAATCCCATAGTGGTAGAGGTAGTAAAAATATAAGCAGTAATCGGAAAGACTACGGTTTGAAGATGTTATTCAAAGAGTATAGTCCAGTGAAATGAATTTGGAAAGAAAATAAGGGACATGAAGAATTCAGAATAGGATTTGGGGGAACACATAGAATGGATGTATCTGCGCACACCATTGCAAACCAGTCATGTCATTCAGGGTCTCTAACCATTGGTTGTTATCGTCTCGTGGATCCCAACCAGGTAGTCTACACCTACCAATATGGCTCAGTCCACTTGTCAGTAACTTTATGGAGTTGTGCCATGTTTTGTTCTGGCCGCCCCTAGCTTTCTTCCAACCTACCCCTACACCATAAAAGATCACACGTCGGGGCAGTCAGTGTTTGGGCACACGTAACACGTGTCCTCATAATCTGAACATCTCTTGCCACGTATTGTTTAACATAGAACCTTCAGATCATATAACAAGTGTAATACTTTCAAGCCCTTTAAATTGCTATCTAATGATAAAGTTCTGATAAAGACTAATAATTGATGAATTTCACAAATGTCGAATGTGCGAAATATCATCAATGACTGTTTTATTGTATCGTAACCTGTGGGTATAATGTCAAAGTATTGTGCGTACAACAAAGCTTAAAGTTACTAAATTCAGTTCCACATAAAGTTAATAGTGTAATCTCTTGACGTTTTAATTTAAAACATAATAGGTTATGATATTGATCTAGTTTTTAACCATCCTCTCTAGGAGAAAACGTCTTCCCAAGCTTTTTTTTAGCATACTGAAATATTGATATACGTACAGATTCGAGGTGTGTTGATGGTTGCCACTTTTCAATTGACAATATCGTGAAAAAGAAATGAAAATGAAGTTAGCTTAGGAGTGATTTTGACAAACTGGAAACGTTACCGTACAACTGAAGAAAGAACTGTCTCACGTTGAAAATACGACATAACTCACCAACCACAAACTTGGCGCTTTAGGTCTTTTATGACACACCAACCAACCTAAATGAGATAGTCAAAGCAAAAGGAACAAAATGTTCTAGTCAATAAACCTCGATTAGGTAATCACGATATGTACGCCCAACAAATACATCAATGTAACTACTTTTATAAGTCTGGTGTTCATCTTGATGTACTAATAAGGTATGGCAACTTGGACCGATGTACATATGTGCCTGATCCTACATTGTAGCTGACTGATTGAACGGTCAATACGTAAACATTTAGATGATCTACTAATGAAAATTATTGTAAAGTTAAACTATAAAAAAAAACCTTTTCATGAAACATACACACCAAAAAAAAGAAAGAAAACTAAGAAACAAAAAAAAAGGAAAAAAAGAAAAAAAACTACAATACAATATCAATATTAACAAACAACATTAAAAACAAGACGAGAACTTTCAACGCTCCTTCTCATTTCACATTCAATTTCATCATATAAGATACATGACAATGGTATCTAAATAAAAGCACAATATATCAACAACAACAACAACAACAACAACAATAGTTCAACAACGACTGATGAAAAGAAAAAAGTGAAATAGATTGTTTATTAAACAATTGAATCAATGGAATGATAATGATAACACCGGTTGATAGAAAGTAAATACGATATATGACCATTTTCAAATGAAAAAGGATATCAATCCTTTTTGAATGTGAAATCCTTCTTATAAAGAAAGATATATTTAGATGAAATATATGACCAAGAGTAAATTATTCAATAAGATTATACAATGAATAGAATAACTTGATTATTCAGTTAATTGATTGATATATAAATTTAATGAAATTTATCCCATTAATGAACGAATAATTTGATGTAATTCATTATAACGTCTACTAGTTGGTGGAATATAATCAAGCTATAAACAGAAAGATAAAGAGAAAATATAATAAACATATAAGTAAGATGATATTTAATAAATATTAGTAAATGAATAAAATTGTGTGCGAGTGTGGGATACTACTCTGATAGCCAGACTAAAACAGGTGATTTTATTGAGGAGTCACATTCGGAGCCTTCGATCTAATAGTCTGATCCATAAAGTAGTAAAGTAAGGTTAGGAGATGAAATCACGTAGTAACCGGTAATCAATATATGGTTTATACACCATTTGTTTCTTCATGATTTTGGAGCTAGCTCATGTATATCATTGGTTTAGAATCACGGTTTTCCAACTCTCCTAGATGAGTCAGTCAGTAAATCAGCTACAACGTAGGACCAGACATATATATGCATCGGTCCAAGTTGCCATATCGCATTAGCACAACAACATGAACATCGGATTTATAAAAGTAGTCAATTCAATGGCAGTAATATATAAAATGAGGATTGTATATAAGGATATAGTACAAGAAGAAAGAATTAGTTCGTAGAAAGAAAGATATGAAGCGATTTTCATCTCATAGTTTAAGGGAAGACAAAGAGTGTATAAACCGACGCCATTGTGATCGATTCTGAGTCATGTCACCCAGTCTCTAACCATTGGTTACGATAGTCACGCGGACTCCAACCAAGTAGTCTGCATCTATCAACATGGTTCAGACTAGAAGTTAGTGACTTTAAGCACGATTTAGTTCGGTTACCCCTAACTTTTTTCTAACCATCCCCAACATCGGTTAGCATTGCGCGTCGTGGTAATCGGTGTTCAGGTGGATGCTCTATATCTACGAAGTGCCGAACATTCACTTTTCGTCCTCTCAATTTCGTAAACAACAGTAATGCCACGAGAAGTCACTGAGTAGGACTTCCCTGGTAGTAGTTGCATGCACATGGCCATGTGAGAACATTTGGAGAGTGGACTCTCCTCACCCTCAACCGTACCAGGGCATTTTGAGGTGTTCAAAAAATTACTCCAAACAGAGAAAAACATATCACATTATAGAATTCCTTTATACTTGTTTTGAATAGTCAAATATTAGTATATCACTAGTTCTCTACAATAATTAGAAGTACTTGAATTCAACATGTTAACTAGCAATACTCAGAACTCTCTCATTCATACTCTATTAACCACGTATTGACTAGTAAATTCATATAGGAGAGAACTTTGTAAGTACAATCGAATATGTTAGAACTGGAATTCAAATCATCGATGGAATAATGTACACAAAACAGAGAGGTTAATGTTAACTAAACTTTGACAGTATTGTTAACATTTGACACATCCATAAATTAATTAATTATAAGTGTTCAGATCTAATATTCAGATTAATAACTTACTACTTATACTATCAGGAAAATGATCACCTACACTAAATGAATTAGTATGAGAATGTATAGAATTAGAAAACTATGAGAACTAGTTAATGAATCAACAACTTAACATTATCTCCCATATACGTTGAGTATAAACAATTATATTTGAATTTTATGCCTTTGATCTGTATTGGGGATGATAGATCCCCCAGAACTCACTTGGTAAATACCTTATTTTTGTAATTTTTAGAAAAGGATTTTGTAGAGATTTTAGTATTGAGACCATGAGTAAATATAAAGCCTGGAATCACTGGAGGGCGGTTTCATCCTACAGTGGGAATCCTCAGCAGTGAGCAATCACGACCCCGCCTCTTGGGACTCGAACCCAGGACCTATCAGTCTCGTGCACGAGCACTTAACCACTAAACCACTGAGCCGGTATCTAACGGTGTTAATATCTAACTTTAACAAATCCACAAAATTGAGCAAAACATTCACCAGTGACCAGTGGAGTTCAACTGAGTCAGTTGCGAAACAGTAGCTCACTGATGATAAAGGTGGATGTGTCGCTCAATTTTGTAATTTTATTTTGGAAATTTGAATTTCTTGTTTTCGCTCCAGAAGCACTAATTTTTAACCTTCATGTTGTAATACCCACTTGGGAGAATTTTAAACGCTATTGGTTTATTGTATCTTTTAATATGTCATTTTGTAACGTTTCCCAAGGACAATTTTATGCTGTATATATACATACGTTTGATTTGTGTCTGTTATTATTGCTCGTGCTTCTGGCTGCTTGCAGAATATATTTCCTCGTTCTCGAACTTGGACTTCTGTCTGTAGTTAGCGGGGTTGGGAAGCATCAGAATAGCTAGCTTATTGGTCTTTGGTCACAGAGTCTTTGTTTCATTCGCAGACTAGGTGAACTCGTAATCACTTCAAACATAGCAATCTGAAATTTAGTTTTAGAATATATCTACAGTTCAGTACATTTTTCTT